CATTTTCAGTGATTGTACTTTTCATTCTTATTTTCATATAGTGCTCTGGGAAGCTACTCTGTGTGAGGGGTACAATATAAATGCAAGTTGTTGATATATTTCCCTATTTCAGCCTTATTACAGTATTTCTGTTATTGCAGCATTACTCCTCAGCATTGCATGACGTTGACAAACCTGAAGTAGGTTATCTGTACTAATATGCACTAGTAAAACAGAACACATTACCAGTTAGTTTTACTATAAGCTTGGATAATCCCTTCACATACCATTTGACCAGCTTCGGAAACGCACAGATTCTTTCTACCAAACAACCTTTGGAAAATTGACTTCAATAAAATATTTATTGGTAAATAAAATCAGCGCTATACATCCACAACATCCTTTTGATCAAAGGATAGAATTTTAATGCATTAAGCAACTTACTATTATTTGGACAATACTCACCTAATAAACCAAGCCTGCTTTTATCACAAATTTAATATTGTATTCGAAATAGGTTCATTTTTATCTAACTTCACCTAATAACAGCAGGAAATAAATCTAATCTTTTACAGAGTTGCTGGTTTCTTGAAAAATGCCATTGTTGTTAAAATTATTATTAATAATAATTATATTTGCATTTCATTATGGAACTTTCCCGTCATGGGAATTCAAATAGCTGCACACGATCTACAAGTAATGTATAGTGATTGTGCATTCTGTAGGCAAACTCGGGAGCCAATTTGTGCACAGCAATGTCCCGCAGACAGCCATGAAGTGAATGACCTATTTTATCTGGATGATTGTTGGCCAGGACACTCGGAGAAACTGGGAATCATTTAAAGCCTTACTTTCAGATAATTTATTAACAATGATTACGTTAAATTTGAAAGAGATGTGGAATCACGTATCTCTTTATAACAGCACTCTTTCTTTCTTAGCTTTCTTTAGCTGTAGATTCGCAGCGATCGCCAAATATGTTTTTCGCATCATAAAGCCACTCTTGCCATTAATCAGTTATCCTTTTAAAATCAAATATTCCCTTGTTATTTTCTGTCCAGTTCAATTTTGTTCCCTTCTCTTTTCAACCTTCTTTTCCTAAATCAGTTTACAATAAGGTATGGTATCTTGCTTAGGTAGGTCATTGTATGAAGCCCAGACAGTATATTATCAATTAAATTGGGTTTACGGTAAATTTGTTTTTCACCTTCATTATTGTGCCAATGAATCCTGAATCAACAATCTATTTCACTTTGTAAACCATTTTCTCTGTTGCACCACATTCCAATGATTTAAAATGACCATATAACCTTCAGAATACTCTAGGCTTTAATTATCTGCTAATGACTAAATGACTAAAAGACACAGTAAACACTGTGAATTGCGCATGAGCAACCAGAAATATCATCAGATGCAACTGAGTATTTTCTAAAGGAGACATCTTTACTATTGACTGTTTAATCACATTTATTGGGTTTCAATATCAAACTAACACAAGCAATGAGGATTCATGATTTTCTTTTTCCTTTCCACTTCTATTTGAGGTTTTGTTGCTTTGAATATTTTTGCAATGTTACTTAGAGTGAATTGGTTACTCAACCAGATCGGGTGAGGGAACCCAAACAAAACAGAGTGTTTGTTTCAGCAATCTTAATTCCAACCTTACATACTAATTCAGCTTTCTTGCATCATTAGGCTCAGTAATCTCATTTAATTGTCAGCCTGGCTTAGTTGTTTGTAGTATCACGTCTCTATCAGAAGGTTGTAGGTTCAAACCCCACACTGAGCTCATAGTTCAAGCTGTTAATTAATTGTAGAGCTGGGGAAGTACGTGTTAGTGGAGATACCACTCTTGAGATGAGATGTTAAACCTTGGTAACATCTGCCTGTTCAGGTGGACATTAAAGGCTCTGTGCCATACTCAAAAGGAGGAAGTATTTTTTCCTCATTGTTCTGGTCAACAATCCTCCAGATAAACTAGTCATGCAATTCATGGCTATTTGTGGGACCTTTCTGCGTGTCTGTTGGTTATCTACAAATCACTACACTTAAAAATTGGTTGTGAAGCTGTAGGGACATTTCAGTGTAATAGATGGTATATCAAATACAGGTATTTTTTCCACTCAGCTCTTGTTAATCCTGTAAAACAAAGCCCTAAACAACAATGTTGTCCGAGCTGGACAAGCAGTGTGAAAGCTTGCCAGCCAGTGCTTTCATTGATAATAATATAATAATAATAATCCTTGCATTTGATATAGCGCCTTATCATGCCTTCGAGACGTTTCAAAAGACGTTTCAAAGGCAAACTATTGTAATTTTAGTTGGTTAAACTCCCAGCAGTACCTCAATGCACACTCGAGGGTCCCCAATCCTTGGCACTTGCCAACCTGCGGCTAATACTCTCAATCAAATCTCAAACCTGTTCAACGGATGTTGTACAGAAATGTGAATAAATAGTATTTATTTCTGCACTGAAAACAATGGGAATTGATGGTTGCATGTGAACATCATTGTTTCCGAGTCACATCTTATATCTGATGCACTCTTGCATTGTTTGTTAAATGAGAATTTTTTTTATTATAACAACCAGTTGATAAAGGGTCTAGACTCCATTTTAAAGTTATTCTTCTCACCCAGAGGACTAAGAGAAAGCTTGTTCCCAAACATTTGACTTTCCCTCTATTCCCTGGTATTCCTGTGGGGAAACACCTTGTGGCCTTACATGAAATATAACACTGTACTGTCCAAATAATTTTAAGAGGGCAAGTGGTGCATGAAATTGCATTTTTATGAAGAGTTTTTTCTATGCTTTGTCACAAGTGGCCGTTGAAGCTAAGACTGACAATATTTAAAAGTGAATTGCATAATATTTGAAAAGCAGCAATATAAAAGTATGGGGAAAGAGAAGGAAATCAGGATATCTGGAGTACAGGAGAAAGCACAAGCATAAGCTCAATGGATAGCAGGATTCTCCTTCAATGTTATAATTTCTATCATTCTATGTTATTCTGGGGTACAATTGTGCTGTTGCTCTCTCATATAACATAGTGCTTAATAATCTATTCTCGTTCTCTTTCCCAAGCCAAATGGATTTGCCGCTCATGACTTTTCAGCAGGGATAAATGGGAAGACTTTTCTTTATTTAGGATTTTTCTGACTATTTTATGAGCAAATACAATTTAGAAACCCATACATAGAACACACTTGATTACATCTCCTTAAGTTTCATGATTCTGCTCATATTCTATTTATTTCTAATAGTTCTTTTGTAAAGCGTGGATTCTGTACACTTTGTGCAAGCTTTTGTATCTGCCGGCTGCTTTCCATTTTTAAGAATAATCTACTAATCTAAAGCGAATACATTTACTGGGAAACCTGGGATTTAGCTGCCAATGACATATAGAAGATACAACAACACCAACAACGAAACCACATTTGTATAGTGCCTTTCAAGTCAGGAGGACGTCCCAAGATGCTGGACAGTCAGAGTTTTGGACCTGAGCTGGGGGTCGGGATCGGGGAGGGTGAAGGGAGGGGAAGCAGGGAGAATGAAAGCACTGTCGAAGAGGAGAGTCTTGAGATGGGTCTTGAAGGAAGCAAGGGAGGGGGATGGACTTCTAGAGGGTGGGGGCAGAGTGGCAGAAGGCCCACCTGCCAATGGTGGGGCGGGCGAGGCGGGGGACTTGGAGCAAGCCAGAGCCTGCTGAGCAGAGGGAGCGGGCAGGTTGGTAGGGGGTTAAGAAGTCGCAGAGTTAGGGGGGAGCAAGGCACCCATGGAGGGCTTTGAAGGTGAGGACCAGGATCTTGAACTGTATTTCTGTGTTGATGGGAAGCCAGTGGAGTTGGGCGAGGATGGGGGTGATAGGGTCACGGAGCCCGGTGCGGGAGAGGACATGGGCTGCAGAGTTTTGGATGATCAGCAGCCTATGGAGGGAGGAGTTGGGGAGGCCGACAAGCAGGGAGTTTGTATAGTCAAGCTTCGATGTAATAAAAGAGTGTATTAAGGTTTCGGCGGCCTGCGGTGTGAGGCAGTGGTGGAGCCGGGCGATGTTGCGGAGATGGGGGATGGGAGAGCGGGTCATGGCACAGATGTGGGGTACAACCAAGACGTGAACAATATTCAATGTGATGGTTTACTCCAAATGTAAGGAAAGAGCATGTAAAATGAGAAGTTCATATTTTATTTTATGACCCGAATATTAGTTTTATTCTTTTCAAGAGTTGCTTGAAAAATACAGGATGTTCTCTCCTTGTGAACTCTTAACTGTGTTCCAGTGATTTGCATTTGAAATCAGTTATCAAACAATTTCCTAAAGATGTTGGAGATTGTTTCCAGCTGTTGGGTTGTCGTTGCTGTGTGACTCGTTTCAGGCAATCGGGTAGTATATTCATATAATTGTAAAATATGGTTGGTTATTAAAAGTTGGGAGGTTTCATTAAAGTAGATGATTGACAACTGAATAGTGTTATAGTGATGTATAAAGCTTACTGGCATACTGGCAAGTAATTGTAAAAATTCACGAGGTCGTCAGCAAGAATTTCGCACTCACATCCTGTATTTAGAGTTGCTGAAATGTGCTGAATTTGTTTCAATTATTAGAAGAGGGGACAGAACCAGAACAGTATTGGAGTAAGTTGCAGATTTTTTTTAATAGCAAAACCTTAGTGTTGATTGTTTTTTAAAGTTTCAATTGGCAGTCTCCATTTACTCCCCTAATCCACAAGGGGAAGAGTTACAATATATATTACTGTTTATGCAATATTGTCTTTAAAAGTCAAAGCACATTCCATCCTAAATCAAATAAGTCACCATCTCCATTTAGCAAAATTATTTTAAATCCCTAGTTAGTTAGAAAACATTGAACCCTTTACCTTATTGCCTGTTTGCTTTACCATACTCTACATTAAAATACTGGATCAATTTGTTTTCTTATGAAGATCAAATTGCGTAGTAAACACGTAACCTGCTGTGCGTCACTCAAGATTTGCGTCCACCCGCCACTAACACTTCCACATTCCGGTAATTGTAAAAACAATTGTTTATTGCATATTCTTTACATAATGTACAAGTAAAAGTCTCAGCAATACAAAACTGTCACTTAAAAAATTACAGTATACAAAGAGTAATACCAGTGTACCCTTGTAATGTAAACAAATATATATTGTGACAATTGTGTACAAACACTGTATAGAAAAAGATGTATTGACCAGGCACCTGTCGATAGCCATACGTCGTTTGGCACACACCTGTCAATAGCCAGGCATTTATCTAAGCCTGCATTGTAACATGTGACAACTGCTTGTCATTAGTCACACTTACTTTGAAAAGCAGTTGTTAAGGTTCATATTAACAGGTGCTTCAGTACATAGCTTGCCTGTAAAACAGTAACCTTTTTTCAAAACGGCAAGGAACGCCTGTTAAACCCCATTGCACAAATCTTGCAAGGCTTCAATGTTCAGCTGAGAACATTTCAAGATCAGCAGCCCTTAAACAAACGAAAACGTATTGCATAGTTACACCTCGAAGAGAAAGAATCTCTTTCGATTATTCATGTTGCACTTGAATACTGGATGTGCCAGAGAGCCCTTAATTCTCTGCGTTCTCAAAAGAGTTTCGGTCTGACTTCCTGACCCCCCAAATGTGGTAGCTCCTGATGCACAGAAACAGAATGCTGGCAATTAAGTTTTTATAGCAATAAATAAAAATCAGGACAAAGTAAGGTCCTCTGCGTTTTAACCAATATGTGATGGACAGACATGCATACAGAGGTTTGCTAAACTAGAGTTCTTGTTTGGAAAAGTCGGCGATTTCTCAGCGAGCTGCACAGCATCCCGTTTCTTCATGTTTGTGAAGGAGAGACATTCTGGAGAAAGTCTTGGAACAGTTTTTGCACTGGTACTTTTTAACATCTGAATGAGTCTGCAGGTGAGCTCTGAGGTTGGATCGATCTGCAAACGCTCTGTTGCAGTGAGGACAGGAAAATGGCTTTTCTCCTGGAATAAAGCAAAAAAAAAACAAGCAGATTAAACAATCGAAGGCGACATTGTTTTACACTTTTTCTTGTTGCTGTACAATGATTTTGCACTTGGCTGAAAATCACGTTAAAATAATATGTTGGTACATCATGTCTATGTTATTTTCCCACGTGCATTAAGATGTATATTTCTTGCATAGCAACAATAAATGTGAATTTGAGAACGTTTTTATGAAAAGTCTATTATGAAATCCTTCACATGACTGATGCTTTCGTGATTTGTTTTATTGTGCTGTCTTAAGAATGGATTGAGCATCACAGATCAGCGCGATAAAAAGGTCTCAAGATACTCCAAACTGCAGAAAATATTGCAGAAGCATCTCACATTTCTAATTAAAGACTGTTGTTGTGTAAACCACATCAGGCAAGGTAGCCAGAAATACATTGATGTTCAAAATAAAACGTTAAGCGAGAGACACGAAACAAGCAAACCATCTGTCTTCCAAAAAAAAAGAGTTGTAACGTGGACTTTTAAAAGAAAAAAAAGGAATCGTCTCTCCCGAGGAAAACTCATTTTAAAAGAAAAAGGTACAGGCAAAGAAAAAGATATGTTTTTTTTAAAAAAAATATATCAAACTTAAGTCCTGTTGAGGGCATTGGCTACCGCTTAAGAAGGTGTGAAATCAGCAACAAAGTGGGAATTAACCCATGCCCGAGGCCGATAAATAGATCGGGAAGAGCTGCATTGTGAAAAGTGATAATTCTTGCATTTAACACCGATGGCCCCAATGGATGACAGCTGGAGTCTGAAGCTGTGGTCACAGAGTACTGTAACAGGTGCGCTGTACACACTGCACTGCCACATTAATGCACCTGCCTCGAGTCTGTCAGCTATTCATATGCAGAGCCTCTGTTAGAGGACAACTCGACCCCCTCCAAATGCAGTGGTAGTGAAACAGCGGGGGCTCTTTTTTGTTATTCCACTGAGAACATCCTCTTTTAGCTGCTGGAGAGATGCTCCGTAGGGCAACAAAAGGCAGTCTGGAAACTCACCAACAATGTGGGGTGTGTTTCTTTTTGGTGGGGAGGGGGGGAAGGGGCTGAAAGGTAGTTTTATTGCACCATGTGTGACTATTGTACTGATTCAAAGTGTGTGGAGGGTGGTAAGCTGTACATAAATATGGGGGGGGGGGGAATACGAACAAGAATATGAACAACCCCCCCCCCCCCCACCCATCCACGAATAAATTAAAAGGGGTTAACCTCCAAGCAATAGGGTCCACACAGAGATGAACCGATGGAAATGATATCAGGTCACAGACAAGTGAAGCAAGACGTTCAAAGCATCTTAACTGAGGTCAAAACAGAAAGGAAAAAAAAGTGTGTGGGGGGGTGTGGGGGATGGAGGGGCAGAGATGTGAAACGAGGGAGTGCGTCTTGAGTGCAACTGGAACGTGTTTGCACAAGTTTAGGGAAAATAGTTCACAAGGCGTGGACCATAATCGGTGCTTTAATCCCCCAAAGCCCTCTCTCTCCGAAAGGCTGAAGTTTACGGATTGCATTTGCCCATAAGATGTCACTTTCGTTGGGACAGAGTCTCGAACACAGCAGCGAATGCAACAGCTTCCCTTCCAGCCCCAGAGGTTTATTAACACGTTGGACGTTTCCAAGGTCCATAAGTTTCCAACGTGGGTTTTTTTTTTTTGCACCGTGCATTTCCCCCACTTAATTGCTGCAAAAAAGATCTTTGCAACCTGAGCGGCCGGAAAATTACCTTCAAGTAATGAAATAATAATAACAATAGTAATACATTGCTGCACCAGGTCACAGACACTGCCACCGAGACCCTCTCTTTCCCGAGATTCGTGTGGGACCTTCCGACTTGAGAAAAACATTCGCCTAGAAATCATCCCCCGCTTTTTTTTCCCCCAAATTTTTTAAAATAATAATAAATAGCAAAAAAATATCCGCAGTCACGATTTGCCTTGAACTTACTCCCCCCCCCCCCCCCCCCCGTACCATGAGCTGAGTGAGTTCAACGTGAGTGTAGTGTATAGTGTGAGTGTGTCACAAAAAATGTAATTGAATTAGAAGCGCATTAACTTACTTATTGATTGATTCATTGATTGATTGATTGGGATTGAATCGATTCATTCATCCCTTAATATAAACGCTTTCTTCTTTCTCTCTCTCTCTCTCTCTCTGTGTCAGTCTGTCTCTCTCTGTCTGTCTCTGTGTGTGTCTGTCGCTCTCTGTGTGTGTCTCTCTGTGTGTGTCTCTCTGCCTGTGTGTCTGTCTCTCTCTGTCTGTGTGTGTCTCTCTCTGTCTGTCTCTCTCTGTGTGTGTGTGTCCGTCTCTGTGTGTGTGTGTCTGTCTCTCTGTGTTGTGTCTGTCTGTCTCTCTCTGTCTGTCTCTCTCTCTCTCTCTCTGTGTGTGTCTGTCTGTCTCTCTCTCTGTGTGTGTGTCTGTCCCCCTCTGTCTGACTCTCTGTGTGTGTGTGTCCGTCTCTGTGTGTGTGTGTCCGTCTCTCTGTCTCTCTGTGTGTGTGTGTCTGTCTCTCTCTGTCTGTCTCTCTCTGTGTGTGTGTCTGTCTCTCTCTGTCTGTCTATCTGTCTGTCTCTGTGTGTGTGTGTGTCTGTGTCTGTCTGTCTGTCTCTGTGTGTGTGTGTGTCTGTCTGTCTGTCTGTCTCTCTCTGTGTGTGTGTGTCTGTCTCTCTCTGTGTCTGTCTCTGTCTCTCTCTGTGTGTCTGTCTCTCTCTGTGTGTCTGTCCCCCCCACTCCCTCCCTCCCTCAGCCTCCGGGAACCCAGCAAACACACAGACACAGACAGACACACACCCAACAACAACAACAACAACGAGCAAAACAAAACCAACACACACACACACCCCCCCCCCACCCGCCTCAAAAAAAAATAAAAAATAAAAAGATAAAAGAGAAAGACCAAAGGGAATGCTGACCGGTGTGGGTGCGGATGTGGCCCTGCAGTAACCAGGGCCTGGAGAAGGCTTTCCCGCAGATCTTGCAGACGCAGGGCAGCGTGTGGCTCCGGATGTGCATCTTCAGGGCCCCGAGACTCACGTACTCCTTCTCGCAGTACTTACAGCTGAAGGCCTTCCGGCTCTGGGGGTCGCAGTGCAGCTGTTTGTGTTTCGAGAGTCCCGCGAAGGTGGAGTAGGATTTGCTGCACTGTCCGCACTGGAACTTCTCGGCCTCGGCCGCCGAGGACGACGACGACGACGAGGCCGACGACGACGGCGAGTCGGGGCTGAGGGCCTCCGAGGCCTTCCCCTCGCGCTCCTCCTCCTCCTCTTCCTCCTCCTCTTCTTCCTCTTCCTCCTCCTCCTCCTCCGCGCTGGACAGCGACGCCAAGTCGTGGGCGCGCCGGTGCCGCTCGGGCGGGCCGCCGGCCGGCGGGGGGTCGCTGGGCTGTCCTCCGGGCCGGGCCGCGCCCCCACCCCGGTCGGCCGAGCACAGGCTGGACAGCAGCCCGGCGTCCCACACGATAGCCGGGTAGTAGGCCCCGCTCGCCAGGAGCTCGGGCTGCGGGATGGCCGGCAGCGGGTACGTGTCGTACAGGAAGGGCGAGATGATCACTGCGGAGAGGGAGAGGGGGGAGAGGGTGAGGGGGAGAGGTGGGGGGGGGAGGGGAGGGGAGGAGGGGGTGTGGGGGCCGCGCAAGGTCTTGCGTTAAAAGCCCCTCGAGCCTCCAGACCCGACCCACCCGCGCCCACGCGACGCACTCGCTCTCGCTCTCACTCACTCTCACTCTCTCACTCTCACAGACACTCACTCTCACACACACTCATTCACTCACTCACACACACTCGCTCTCACTCACTCACAGACTCACTCACTCACTCACTCACTCTCACAGACACTCACTCTCACACACACTCATTCACTCACTCACACACACTCACTCTCACTCACACACTCACACACACTCACACCCACTCTCACACTCATTCACTCACTCTCACACACACACACTCACACAGACACTCACTCACACACTCATTCACTCACACACTCACACACTCACTCTCACACACTCACACTCACTCTCACTCACACACTCATTCACTCACACTCACTCACACACTCACACAGACACTCACTCTCACTCACACACTCATTCACTCACACACTCACTCTCACACACTCACACTCACACACACTCACTCACACAGACACTCACTCTCACTCACACACTCATTCACTCACACACTCACTCTCACACTCACTCACTCTCACACACTCACTCTCACATACACTCACTCACACTCACACACTCACTATGTTTTTTTAAAATGCAAAACATTAGGTAATAACCCATATCCATTTCCACACGTGTCCCCTTTTCTCCCCCCAAACCCCCCAGTGCAGATGCTTTAAGGCAGTGACCATCTCTCTGTACTGACACATAAGGCACAACTCTGACCCGAAGTCACCCTCAGCCTTCCCCCCAATTCACTGGTACCGACAGCATCGTTCCCACTGACTCCCCGATTCAATAACTTGACATCCCGAACCCATTCCCAATCCCTCGCGAATGACCTTTAGCCTTTAACAGTGTAAAAGACATCAATGGGGAAAACACACACACACACACACTCAATCACACACACACACACACACAGAGATACACTCACACACACATACACTCAATCACACACAGAGATACACTGAATCACACATACACACAGATACACACACACATACACTCAATCACACACACATACACTCAATCACACACACACATACACTCAATCACACACAGAGATACACTGAATCACACACATACACACAGATACACACACACACACAGATACACTCACACACACTCAAATCACACACACAGATACACTCAATCACACAGATACACATACACACACACAGATACACTCAAATCACAGATACACTCACACACATACACTCAAATCACAGATACACACACATACACTCAATCACACACACACAGATACACTCAATCACACACACACACAATGTAAGAGTTAATGCATTTGTACCCCCTTTTTTTTTGTTGAAAAAAAATGTTCCTTTTTTCTTGTACCTGTCTGGCTGTCGAGTTCGCTGTAGTTTGGCTTTTTGCTGGTGGAGAAATGCTTCTTGATGAGAAAGGACCTGGGCATCTTGAAAAATCCAAGTTCACCTTCTTTTAAAAGGCTGCAAGAAAAAAAAAAGAGGTCCTGATAACAGTTTTTTTTTAAAAAAAATGAACAAGACTCGGTCCCTGGGACTGAATCCGCCTCTGTTCTGTCAATGCAACGAGTCCAGTTGCGGAAAATGTGCGCGGACCTGGTGTACATATTGGTCCTGGAGGAGGAGGGATGAACTCAGATTTGTTCCATTGCCATCCAATCACACTGGGAGAGAGAGAGAGAGACAGACAGACAGAGGGAGAGAGGGGGGTGGGGGGTGGGGGAGAGGCACTGGGGTGGGTGGGTGGGTGGGGGGACCTTGAGGAGGTGTTTCAAGCGTCAGTGGTTTGTTTCCAACAGGTGTTTGTGCAAAGCTCCAAACCTCAGGATCTCTCTCTCTCTCTCTCTCTCACACACTCACTCCTCTCTCACACTCACTCTCTCCCACTGCACAGAGACTCGACTCTCTTCAGGCAAAGCCAACCCCTGACTTTTATCCGACGTTAATACTAAATGCAATGAATCGATCGGATCCTTTTGTCTGCCCAGTTAAATCTCCTGGGTGGGTGGGTGGGTGAGTGGCTTTTCCAGTGAGGACAAGAAACTGGCACAGGATTCCGACTTACTGCTTGTCAATAAATATTGCATTTTTTTTTACACACACTGCTTTTTGTTCCCCCCATCCCTCCCCCCCAAAAAACTTCAGCTTTCACACACACAGATGCACTGTATTAATAAAAATAATAATAATAATAAATGTGTGAATGCTGGGTGTTGAAAATGAGAGCCCCCCCCCCCCCCCCACCCACCCCCACACACACACACACACAAAAAAAATATATAGAAAATACATTGAGGTGTGTCACCAGAATTTAAATGGTTTTTTTTTGGGTGTGTTATTTTCCTGTTCGTGTTCATTCCAAGTTTTTTTTTTTTTTTGGGGGGGGGGGGGGGGTTTCTGACTGCTATAAGCACACAGCGAGAAATGCATTAGTTATTGTCGAGCAAGTGGACTTCTGCGTCTCTATTTAAACTGATCCCTGAAAATAACTTCAATTGCAATTTTCCTAAACTTAGGGACGTCTCGACACTGATGGGTTAGTCAAATCCGAGGAAGGGGTACAAGTCGCCTTTCTCTCCCCAATTGGATGCAAACTTTCGATGCAGTGAAGACACGTTGAGCTTTTAAGGTGAAAGCAAAGCACTCTCTCTCTCTCTCTCTCTCTCTCTCAAAACAACCAAACAAAACAAATAAAAAAAACACACACCCCCACAGCCACCGTTTATTGTTGGAAACGGATAAAACGAATACGTTTCTTCTGCACTTCGGCTCTCGAGGAACTGAACTCGAAACGCAGTCGTTGCTAATTTCTTGGCAGAGACCTCTGATGCTGAAGGTGCTGGAGTTTCGCTTCGGTGAGTGAAACAGACTGATAACTGCACCTCGTCCCCCAAAACCCCCTCTCTTCCCATCCCCTGTTTCACCTCGAAATGCCAATTGTGCAAAAAAAAACACAAACACACGCACACACACACGCACTGTGCAAATGGGAATGAACAGCATTTGCATCGAACCGGTTACTCACTGCCCAGTGGACACCGAGATCACAGGTGCAGTGTAACACCGTCTAATTCCCACTGTAAATTCCCACGAGGACCAGTTATTAACTCTCAATGCACAATTCACTGTGTATTGCATCGCGACACAGATTGCCCAACGTCCTCAATTAATATCATCATCACCCCCCACCCACCACCCCACCCACCCCCCACCCACTGGCTCTCCTGCTGGTCTGCACCTATCTATGTGCAGCACTGGGGGTGGACCTGGACCAGGTGCAGTTTTGCTGGAGACAGGTCACTGCAACGACAGCGACTCTTTTAACGCCATGAACGGATGCAGATGCACAAATAGCACTGCGAGATGCCAATGCAAGACAGATCTTGTTGAAAGACGAGTTATTATCCAGTGAATTAATTATTCCCCCCCCCCCCCAGTGGGTGTGTGTGTGTGTGTGTGGTGGTGAGAGGGGAGGGGATGGTGGTGGTGGTGGAGGGAGGGGATGCAAACTACACTGATGGAAGCAAAACATTGGCACAGGACTCCCAATTGACTTCCTCCCCCATCCCTCCCCTCCCAAAAGTCGATGTGCCTGAGGCTGAGAGCCAGGTGTGGGGAGGAGGGTGCACCTGCCGGTGACGTCATCCAGGTGTAGTGACAGGGACAGGTGCAGGAGGTGAGAGCTGGTCTTTCTGGTGGGCATTTTGGAGGCTGTAGGGGACCCACGACCACTGCAGAGAAAGTTCCTGCTTCTGAAGGCAGGTGGTCACAGCAGATTCCCTGTGCTGTTTAACCTCAGGGCAACAGATTAACTAACCCAAGGAATATATCTATATATGTGTGTGTCTTGGGCTATTTAATCTGTTAATATATAAGATATTATATATATATATATCTTGGGCTGTTTAATCTGTTAATATGTAAGATATAATATATATATATGTGTGTCTTGGGTTGTTTAATCTGTTAATATGTAAGATATAATATATATATATGTCTTGGGCTAGTTAATCTATTAATATGTAATATATATAATATATATATGCCTTGGGCTATTTAATTTGTTAATGTGATATATATTTGGTTAACGTTGAGATAACACTGGAGTTATCAAACAAGGACTTGGTACTTAGCTGACAACGAGAATATGCACTGTTGGACACAGGCAGAGGAAAATCAGGCAAAGTGTTTTCAAGGTGGGCTGTGATGTGGGACCCCCCCCCCCCCCCCCCCCACAGCTACTCAAGCAATCTATATACATTCGCATTCTAAAAAAAACCCTCTTAAAACGATGCAATTTTACATCATAAGTTATTGCGATTTCGATTTAAAATAATAATAATCATTATTGAGATCATTTTAATGCGTTAGAGAATCAGAGACAAAAGTTAAGCCCCATCCCTTCCCCCACCCTCCCATTTCGGATTGTACACAATTAGAAAAAAAAGGTTAAAACAGGTGGATTTAGGTGTGAGATCTGGGATTTATATTGGACCTCGTCCGAAGTATAATTTAGAAATGGCAAAGCACAGAAATCTCGGTTAATTTTATGAAACTGGCACAAGTATAAGTTTCAAAACTTGGGGGGAGAGAAGGTTGACCATAGTTCAGTGTTGGTTCCTAACATTCAGCCCCACTTCTTCATTGTTCAGATGCAAAATATATTTTCAGGTAAAGAGAGTTGAGTATCAAAAGCAAAATGATTACATTGAAATAATGACCTTTTTTTATATATATCACTGGTCGATTCCTCAGACAGAAATATTTCACCCACAGTCTTATTTTCACCGTTATGAGCTTCAGAGGTGAATTGGAAAGTGGCTTTAAGAGTCATTTTCCTAATCCATGACAACAATCCATAAATGAGGTAGTTTGCATACCAGTGAACAGTCCATCATGTTTGCACAGGTACTCTGAAGAATTTTGCTCGCATGTTAATCGATCCCCCAGTGCCTTCGCCTCACTTCCTCCCTTTCCTCCCTCAAGGCCGGTCTCAAGACCTTTCTCTTCGACCGAGCCTTCAGCTCCCCTCTCGACTCTCTACCCCCTCCTCGCTCCCTCCCTTCCCTCCCCTCACCCTGACCATTTCCCCCCAATGCTCGGGTCCTGACCCAACTGTCCAGCGCCTTGGGACGTCCTCCCGACGAGAAAGGTGCTCTATAAATGGAATCTTGTTGTTGTTGTTGTTGAGAAGCATTCCTAGCATTTCTATCTCACTGCTATTTATTCGGTTAATTTCCTTATTTTTTTATACAAAAAGGTGTAGCAATTATAGCTTTAAGAATTGCAGTATATTAGCAACAGTACGAAAAGGGGACTTATTTTTTTTTAAAAAGTGCACCTTTTGAAATTTTACTGAATAAACTAGCATTTTAAAAAAGAAGTTTGCACTTACACGATGCAGCAGGCGTTAGCGATTGTATATTGTTATTCATTATTTAATGGAAGTGGTTTTATTTGGTTACGTTTCACATCTCCTGCAAAGGTTTCTGTAAGGATTCCCTTGTGCAAAACAGAGTAACTGTTGTCAAGGGGCGACATCTACTGGTTTCTCTGATGTTTCACTGAACTGGGTCAATGTGTGACACTATTCTCCACATCATCAGGTAAACCCTTCTTAACTTTTTTTAAAAAAATATTCAGACAATGTGGAAACAGCTCACCTCAGTTATAAACTATAGCTATAACTAGCATTTGTCTTAATAACCAACACATTTCTTCCCACTGGGATGCTGACTGTATGCTGAAATTCGAGTCAATCGCTGCATTTCTTCTTCACAACAATAATAATAATAATAATCCTTGCATTTGATATAGCGCTTTTCACGTCGGGAGGACATCCCAAAGCGCTTCACAGAACACACTGTAAAGTGAATTGACTGTAATATTTGTGGGCGAACGCGGCAGCCAATTGCGCACAGCAATGTCCCACAAACAGTCGTAGATTGAAAATGACCAATTTATTATTGTTTTTTGGTTTTTGGAGGGATTATTATTAGGCTCTGTGTGGAGTAAGGAAACTTGCCCAAGGTTTCGCCCTCTGACTGGAATTGAACTCAGGTCTCTCGCTTGCAAAGCGAGTGCTCTAACCACTGAGCTACAGGACTCCCAATAATAATCCTTGCATTTCATATCGCGCCTTATCACATCTTTGAGACATCTCAAAGCGCTTCACAGAATATAGCGTAAAATAAATTGACTGTATATTTTGTGGGCGAATTTTATATTTATATTCTAATAATCCATGAGCTTTTTTTTACTTCGATCTCTTACCAAGTTAAAAAGTTTGTGCTGATGTATGTTTTCACGGGTACCAGCAGTCCTCTGGTAGATTGATGAGGATATTGATTGTTTTTGGATTTGAACAGAATAGTGGCTTTGAATTTAGGGAAGTGGCATTGCATAGGACAGTTTTCGGTGATGTGAGAACACAACGCTATGCTATATCAGTGAGAGTACCAATATTTACTGTGATTCCATTGGGATTCATTGATTTCTCAATACAGGCAATCAGGGACGTGAGTACAAATGGATGTTTCATAGAAATACACGTTTCATAAAAATACAGAATGACACGTTTGAAGAATAATTCTTTAATAGGTCCTTAAGAAAGTATGGCTGACAGCCCAGTGACTACAAATGAATTGCTAAATATATAGTTTACTCCTTAATTCCATCAGACATTTTTGAAAGGCTCCCAAATTCTAAAGCATGATTTCACACATTGATGGCAAATGAAATAAAGATTATAAAAACATCATTACAAAACAATTATTTGGAGAGAAACATAGCCATTTACTTCAATTCTATCATTTTGATAAAATAATTGTATGTACAACTATCTTATTTAGGACCACTATATTTCTTTTCAATAATTCCTTACGAGACTTAAACAATCTGCAGCTACTCAACATTATAAGCTTACAAACTTCTTCAAGTGTGGTTCTCTAAGTAAACATTCAGTTCTTTGTGGTACTTTTCATAACATCATTTTTATTGATTGGTTAATTGAAAATCTGTAGCATGTTTTTAAATAGTGTAGTGATAAATTGTACAGCAACTGTCTTCAAAGTGTAAGTGATTATGATGATTCGTTCTATTACAATTGGAAAATATTCAGATTACAACATCGATAATGAAATCTGACATTGTCCAATTATTTTACCATTTGTATTTCATTGCTAATTATTTTAAAGCTCTTAGTTTATATATAAGTAAAATTTAATCTGGGTAACTGATATTAATTTACAGAAAGAAGCTTTTCAGCCTATGATGTCTACACTACTATTTTGCTCCATATGATACCTAATTAATCCCACTCTCCTGATCGCTCCCCACTCTTTTAATATTCTTTTTCAAGCATCTATCTTATTTCTCTTAAAATAATTTATGCACTCAGCCTCAACAAAGGATTCTACATTCTAACCAAACCTTTGCATTTTTTCCGATCTCCCCTTTAGTTAATTTTATGATTATCTTACATTTGTGCCCCTTTGTTCGGGATTTGCCAACCACTGTATGAAATAAAACACTAAATACTGGCACGGGTTCCAAATGATTTGGAAGGAAAGTAGATATTTGGAAAGTAAGTATTGGGAAAAGGTGGTGAGATGGGATTAAAAGAACTGACATGATCCAGTTCTAATAAACTGACAGAAGACAAGATGGGCTGAATGGTTTTCACCCATGCATTGTTAAAGGATATTTTTGAATTATGACCTTTTCTTTTTTTTGTTATTATGAGAAAATAGAATCCCATGCACTTACTTCCAGTAAAAGATGTCTCATGTTTACTTCTGCCAAGAATTGCGAAACTAAAACAGCCATTCGGCATTCATATGACTAATCAAACTCGTGATTTTACTGAGGCAAACTCAATTTGTAGCATTTTCTAACATTACCAACTCTCCTCAGACCTTCAAACCACCAAATAATTTGAAGTCATAATTTCTCAGTTCTGGTTCAAACATTGAACCAATTTTGTAACTTTGAAGTATAAACAGGTCCACATGTTCGGATAAGATTGCAATTAATAATCCTTGCCTTTGATACAGCACCTTATCACGTCTTTTTGAGATGTCTCAAAGCACTTCGCAGAATATATGGTAAAGTGAATTGACTGTGTATATTGTGGGTGAAATTAATGTCAGTTTTGACATAAAAGTCACTCTTACAATGTTTCAATGCTGACACCAATAGCATCATACTCCAAAGATAGTATTGCATATATTTAAATAAATGTCCACTCAAATGCCCCTATATTTAGACATTAGTAAATGTAAATTCACGTGTGCTTTGTTTTAATGTGTCTTGAACAGGAAATGTAGGCACTACTTAAGAGTTGTTCTATTGCTATTCATTTGACTTTATTTAATTGATTTTTAGGATAATTACAATATTTCCATCTGCAAGAGACATAAAAATACACAGTATTGGGCTGAGGTTACAATAAATGTCTAAAAACAACCTAATTGAACATGAGAGTATGTGCTCTAGTCTGTCAGTATTCATGATGAATTAATAGTGGTTTCATATTTCAAAATGAGCTGCTTTATAAATAATCACTTTAGTAACCTGGTTGTACAATAAATACACTCAAGCAGCAAAATTCAGGCAGACTGAAAAAATAAACTGTTTCAATTTTAACTATTTTAACCCATAATAGAAACTCTGTTCTGTTGAGGACAAGACATCTCGGTGTGGGTTCTTTTTAACAAAGTAAAAAGTTATCAATTAGATTACACTTGAACACTTGATTGTTATTTTTGGAGCAACATAGGAACATGGAAGAGAAAGGGGTCTTTCAGCCCATTGAGCTTGTTGCACCAGTTTAGATCTTGGCAGATATTTCGACCCAGTTCCCCGGATTAAACTATACATACACTGTAGCCTGATTTTACTGTGTTATTTTGACATATTAGGCGGTAAGAACTTTGTTCTGACATATTGTGAGATGTAGAGCATCGCAAACAATGTAAAACACAACATAAGAGCAGCTTTATATTAATCTCTAAACCCAATACTGCATTGCAACTCTCTGATCACACATGGTGTAGTATAAAAAAAAATCAATTAAATGCTTTGTGTTTTATTTTATTTGGAATATCATGTGAATTGATTGCTAGATGTTATATCACAGTATTCTCTTGTCCTGGGAAACTCCAGATGGATTCTGTAGGCACACTGGCTAGTTGGTCAGAATCTAAACAAAACACTGGATAAGCCACAAGAGATTTATACAACACAGACTACACATAAATTTGTAACATTAAAATTAATATAGTTACATATTGTATCATCTTCCTCCATCAGATGTAATGCTAAATTGCTTTTTGAAAAGACATTCTACAATAAAATATTCACAAACACTGACATTTTATGGGCCATAAAACCAAAGAAAATGCACATGGATATTATGCAGTAATGTAACAAAAAAAATCCAACTTTAATTTTTTTGATAAAACTTTAAATAGTTCATATCAGAATACTCAAACCACGGCAGTGTAATTGCATTTTAAATCAAAAAGCAAACTTACCATATCAAATGCACTTATTATTACCTGTTTCTAAACATTATGATTAAAGTGCTATAATAAACTTTATTCTAAATACACCCTATTGGACAAACTGTAAATTCAATAGCATTTTTATTATGCCTTATATAACCCAATAGCGTCAGAGAAGTTCATGATGACGGTAGACGTAAAGTAACAAAATTACTCTTTTCTTTCCCTCTCTATCTGTCACCATCATCACAAGTATTGTTTCTAAAGGAATCAAAACTCTGCAGTATAGATTTATGCACAAAGCCGTTAAGGTCATGATAACCTCAGAATGGAGATCAACAGGATGTCTGTCTGTCAGATAAGATGGTTCTTGGTTTAGAATCGTATACTTCTGTCCTTCAGAGAAAGTTCAATGGCTTCTTGCAACATTTCATCCTCATTCACATTATAATCCTGTAAAAAAAAATGCAGATTTTATCAATGAAAGAATCCTTAAGGCAAAGTGACTTGACAACAGAATAGCCGAGACCCATAAATACAACGGTGGTTAAGGATTTCAAAATTGACAATAAATTTGTATCGGAGGAAAAGATTTGTGGTACATTGTGTAGTAACATTGTTCACATTGTAATGCATCTCTAGACAAAAAGCTAGAGCTCTTGATTTCTTTGTTTTAATAATAATAATAACCCTTGCTTTTGATATAGGGCTTTTCATGTCTTGTGGACGTTTCAAAGCGCTTTACAGATTATACTGTAAAGTGAATTGACTGAATATTTGTGGGCGAAACGCGGCAGCCAATTGCGCACAGCAGTGTCCCACAAACAGTTGTGGATTGAGCAACCAATTTAAGGATTATTATCCCCAGAAAAGCAATCTGCCAATCGACTAACAACCGGGTTCCTACTTACTGCTAGGTTAACAGAGACGTGTGGAGCAAGGAAACTTGCCCAACATTTTGCCCGACTGGGAATCGAACCCAGATCTCTCACTTAAAGTACTGTTTCCCACTGAAATGTTCACTAAGCTACAGATATTTTATTTTGGTCAGACAGGTGTGTTAACGCATGCAGAAACCCAACTCCCGTGCTTAAGAGTATCCAAACTAGACAAGAGTCCCACATATCCGTGCCACCTACGGAAGGAGGTTTGCCTTTGTCTGGAATGATGTGCACACTCTCTTGCAGGAGAGACATACCCTGAGACGTCAATTCTGGAAAGTATTTGGCACACGTAGGCAGAGCCAAGAATGAGGAACCGCAGAAAGAAGATAAAAAGTTGCAATATTTATAACCACACATACTATTTTCTATTGAAGCATATTTAAACATGCACTTGTGTGATGCCAACATTAAAATATGAGCATCATAATTATTCCAAGAAAGAGCCCCTCTCTCAAGCTTGGTTGCTCCAAGCCCAAATCTGGTTAACTGTGATGCTCTTCCAACTTCACTTTCATATTTAATGCAAAAAACAAACTCCTTTGCACGCAACTTGCCCAAATTAGTAGTACATACCACAAAAGTATCGTATGAAAATTTATGACGGATTTTCAAATGTTGTATCAAATCCGCACTTTTGTAGTTGGGGTCTCCCCAGGGCATGGAGGAACAAATTGGACATACCTGAGGAGAAAGAAATGATGTATAATTTATTCCCAAAACACTTTGTGTTCTGAAGATCACGAAGGAGCCATGAACATGTGTTTGACCCGAATTCAAGAATGCAGTTCGGAATATTCACTCAAAATTCACTTGAAGTTCAATGGCTACTTTAAATATAAGTGTTCCTAACTGCTACCTTCTGCAGCTCCAAATGAAATGTAAACCAACCATATATGAAATCAGTCAAACAAACAAGCAAAAAACACAGTAAATGATCTACTACCCATATTTACTATGCTGTATAACAGCAAAAATGTGCATCCGAGGTTTCTAACAAAAGATCTTTTATGAACATAAAAATTTTACAATTTTTTTAGGGCTGCAAGTTATCGAAGTATAGGCAGTCTAAACCAATAGGCAATCTAAATTGTAATTGACATGACCAAGTGACAAATTGAATTCCACAGCCAAGGTAATTAATGGAACAAAGGAAGCAGTGTCGGGTTCAATTTTGTGGAATAACTGACTGAACAATTCTTACACCTCAAGGACCTGATCAAATGTGGCTTAAGCCAATGAGATGAACATAACTGAACCAAATTTGTCGTCTTAGTCAAAGACCTCGTGGATAGCTGGTCAGAAAAATAGAAATACCACGGTATAAAATATTCTATTGAGATTAGGCTTTAAAGGTGCAGTGGAGAAATTTAGCTTATGCTAAAATTAACCTGGTTTGGGCATTGAGTAAAAAGATCTGCTCCATTTTATCCTCCAGATCTCATGACTTCCATCTTAATGAGCATAAGGCTTGTCAAATTTTATTTTGTCTAATACTGCTGTTCCAAAAGAATAAGAATGTCCATACTTGGATATAAATGGAGTCACATTGATTTGCTTGCATGGTTTAATGAGCTCCCATTGTTTATTCTTTCATGATACATATATTAGGCAATCTTATGGTTTAATTCAATCAATTATTGTCTCCGGAATACATCGTACACAACAATTGAAATCTTGCTGACTGATCTAAACAATAACAGGCTGGAAACTAATATAATTGGACAATGATAAACTTGTGCATAGTTTAACAACACATTCATTTCATGTAGGCAAAGTGTATATGTAGATACCTATATACAAATTTAGTTATTCATGCAACTGCATAAATATGGATTAACTGCAAAGTAGTTACGCAACATTAGTTGAAATTGGTAATATTATATGCCTGTCCATACCAGATAGATCTAAAACAACCTTTAATAAAAATAATCATTGCATTCGTTATTGCACGTGTGAAGTTGAGAATGTTTCAAAAGGGCTTGACAAAGTTTCCGTAAGGCGTATTGGGGAGAAATTCCACCTGTGACTAGATTTACTCTATTTATATCACATTTTGGAGTGTCCAGCATTTGGTAAATTCTTAAATACAGCCTGAATTTTGAAGCTGGTTTCCTGCAAGTTCAAATGTAAGAACTACAGTAAACCGACTTCAAAGTTGACTGAACAATTTGCCCTGGGCATTAAAATGCTACCATTAAATAAGAGTAAGTCTAGATCCACCCTGGAATTTCTCTCCTTATTTATAGGTAAATGCAGCAGCCAATTTGTGAACAGCAACGTCCCACAAGCAGTCACGGAGTGAATGATCGATCTGTAGGATTAATGACCAGGAATACCCGGAGAGACTCCGATCTCTTTTAGAAAAGTGGTTCGAGATCTTTTAACGTCCACCAGAATAGGTAGACAGCATCTTTGATTAACGCCTCATCCAAAAGATGAGTGTTCGTTCAGCACTGCATTGAGGTGTCAGTGTGGTCTATGGGATCATAGTACTGATGTGGGTTTTTAACCCACACATTTCTGACCCGGGGGAAGAATTTTACTAATTGAGCTAGGGTGACAAGTGCAACCTTTCCAATAAGCCATAGCTTTATTCTTAAAAGACATATTACCATTTTTCCAAGTTCGCCTGTGTGTTTTGTAATGCAGTGTTCTACCAATCCGTCTTGGTCCAAGTTCTTGGCATTGCAGAATGGACAGGTGAAGGTAAAGCGATTAGGTACATTGCTGAAAAATACACAAAAAACATTAAACAGTTAACAGTTGTACCAGTAACCATGGAGTAGTAGGATGCCTATAAGTAAATATTTAATATACGGTCATATGGAGAGACGTATCTATTGGGAAGAGGGAGGAAGTTGAAGGATCCTTAAATACTGCATTTCTTTTACTTTCACCCAAGAATACTTCACGAAGGCAATCAAATTTTTGGTACTATACTTGAAGTGAGCGGTGTGAGCGAAGACAACAAAATAGAAATAAAAAAGGTGCGTTATGGAGGTACCGATAAGTCAAATTTTGAAATTATCCCAGAAGGGGGTTGGAAGTGTTAAGATTAAACGATTCAGCTTTTCAATCTGTGAGAAAAATAGGGTTACAGTCATGAACTAAACACCAAAATATCACCTCCGTGGCTAAAGCTTTTAAGACAATTTGAGTTTTGCCAATTTTGTGTTCATAACTGTTCTTTAATTGGCATAAGATGGGTGACCGCCACATTTCCTGCCTCTGACTGTACCTTACCCCAAATGCAACAACAACAAGATTTCATTTATAGAGCGCCTTTCACGTCGGGAGGACGTCTCAAGGCGCTGGACAGTTGGGTCGGGACCCGAACAGGGGGGAAATGGTCAGGATGAGGGGAGGGAAGGGAGGGAGCGAGGAGGGGGTAGAGAGTCGAGAGGGGAGCTGAAGGCACGGTTGAAGAGAAAGTGCAGCCGAAACCCTCGTGTATGTGTTTATCACCTCCTGCCTGGATTACTCAAACGCACTCCTCGCCGATCTCCTCAGTTCCACTATTCAAAAGATCAGCTCATTCTGAACTCTGCCGTCCGCATACTGACCCGGACCAAACTCCGTACCCACATCTCACCAGCTCTGTCCCAGGCTCCGCTGGTTCCCCATCACCGAATGGATCGACTTCAAGATCCTCACACTCGTGTTCAAATCCCTTCACTCTCTGCCCCCTCCCTACCTCTCCGACCTCCTCACTCCTCAATCCACCACCCGGCACCTCCGCTCGACTGGCACCGGCCTCCTGCTCATCCCTCGCACCCTCCACCCCATCATCGGAGGTCGCGATTTCAGCCACTTCGCCCCGAAACTCTGGAGCATTCTCCCTCAATCCCTCCGCCTTGCTCCCTTTCTCCCCTCTTTCAAGTCCTGCCTGAAAACTTTCCTCTTCGACTGTACTTACGGCCATCTCCCTCCCCAGCTCAGAATCAGGATCCGCCGCTGCTAAGCGCTCTGAGACGATACCCTGTGTGGAGGGCACTATATAAGTGCAAGTTGTTGTTGATGTCACATCCTCCCAATGCGATAGGCACTATACAAATATAATTTGTTGTTGTTGTTGCTATCTCCACTCATGTTCTAGAAGAGATATTCAGTTTGACTCAAGGAATTATTTTATAATCTGAATCAAACTATAAAACTAGCACGTGAGCTGCATTTTAGTGGCATACCTGGTGCCAGTCACTTCCAAAAACATTACAAAGGCACAATTTAATAGTTGTCCCTGAATGTTGTAATATACAGTCACCTGAGGCTTGGATGCTGATCCTTCATAGATGCTTTCACACTTTGAGTAATGAAATCTTTGTACTTAGTACATGTTGCATTATGGCTCCGCAACTTTTTCATAATAACCTACATAATAAAGAGAAATTAAGTAATTGAAGTTACAGTTTACAGTTAAAGTTACACTGAGAACGAATACATTTATACCAAAAGTGGTTGTTATGAATAGTAATCCTTGCATTTGATACAACGCCTTACTGGAGTCCTGTAGCTCAGTGGTTAGAGCACTCGCTTTGCAAGTGAGAGACCTGAGTTCAATTCCAGGCAGAGGGCGAAACCTTGGGCAAGTTTCCTTACTCCACACAGAGCCTAATAATAATCCCTCCAAAACCAGAAACAATAATAATTTGGTCATTTTCAATCTACGACTGTTTGTGGGACATTGCTGTGCGCAATTGGCTGCCGCGTTCGCCCACAAACATACAGTCAATTCACTTTACGGTGTGTTCTGTGAAGCGCTTTGGGACTTCCTCCCGACGTGAAAAGCGCTATATCAAATGCAAGGATTATTATTATTATTAGGATTATTATCACATCTCCGAGACGTCTCAATGAATATACACAGAATATATTGTAAGTGATTGATTGTATATTTTGTGTGTGGGGGTGAAACGCGGCAGCCATTTGCTCACAGCAGTGTCCCACAAACAAACCTTTTGCTCAGATTCTAATTTATTTTTCACCCCACTTGACATGGGATATGTTTTGGCCTCTATTGGCTCTACGAACACCAACAAAAGCATAGAATGTACAGTTACCAAGAAAGGTAGTCGATGGCCATCTGGCTGGCCCCAAAGTTTAAAAGAAAGACAAGAGACCACCATCTGAAACTACTTTTTCCGGATGCCAATTGCCTTTTCAAAAGGATACAAAGGTTTTAAGCAATTCTGCTTCATGGCTTTGTTCACTGTCTGTACCAGATACACTCCATCACCATTTATAGTCACACAGGACACGAAGACTGCTGATCACTGGGAGGAGGTTACAGTGTCTCACGGGAATATAAAAACTTAACCCTGAGAATTTAGTCTGTTTCCAATTCCTAAAGTGGTCAGTTCCAAAGTTAAGACTTTTCCAGTATAAGATAAGTTCAAAAGGCTGGAAAAAAAATTGAGAGGTGAACAAGAGACGAATCAAACACTCAATTTTTCTCTCTCCCCTATCCCAACACTATCACCGTGTTTCTCCCACAAAATATACAGTCGATTCACTTTATAGTATGTTCTGTGAAGCGCTTTGAGGCGTCTCGGAGACGTGATAAGGGGTGTCAAGTGCAAGGATTATTATATATCACTGACCTGAGTTCCGCAGCCACCACAATTCGAAGAAGTCATTTCCAATTTCTTCTCAATTTCAACAGCTCGAGCTCCACCTCTGAGAGGAGATCGGCACACGGCACAAATTGGCTTTTTCGGCTTCTGTAAGGCCAACAGGCATTCTCCGCAAAATCTAAATTCAAAAATAAAATCTTAAGAGGAGATTGAACCCAAAGAGGTGACGGCAAGATCAAAGTAAAAACTGTACCCGAGATGATATTTTTCTAGTTTAACCGATGTTTTAAGTCTCGCAATTTAGTTGCTGCGGTAAAATAGGTCAAAGATACAAGACTTTCAAAGGATGGGTAAGTTTAAAAATAGAACTGAATAGTGGTAGATGGCTTAGCGTCAAAGATTTAAAGGTTCTCATTCATCCCCACGTCAGGCTGTTTTATGTCTGGTTACAGGAAGCTGGCAGTTTGTTTGGAAATCCCCACTTACATGACATCATGAACAAACTTCCACTGTTCGCTATAGCAGATCATGAAGCCACATAAAGGGGACTCGAATACATGCAATGCATAAGAATATTTTACGTTTATTAACGGAGAACTTTTCCATTTCTGGCACCTAACACTGCTAGATGAGATACACATAGCCAGACTGAGAGTAAGGTGCCCCATCCCAGAAATTCTTGTTTTTGATTGCTACCTTGTGTGACCTATATGGGAGTGTGCTTGACTGTGTGGGTGTGTGACGACAATCTACCTTATTATGGTAACAGCGTTGCCAGAAAGTGAGCAAAAAAAAAACGTTTTTAGTTGCCTCTTGCATTGTGAACTCGCATTGCGGCTACCACTGGTTTTGTAGATCTCCATTACGTAATGAATTCCAGCCTCCAATCTCACAACGTCCACCCACCCTGAGCGCCCGAAATAGAACTGCTGTCACAATTAACAAGTTACAATGAAAGAAATGGTCATCGCAAGAGGTGCATTTCGGTTCTGGTTGTGATATACTGTACCCAGCGTCTGCAGGACTTTAACCCAGCCCACTTTCACATGTTTCACTTTCACGTAAAGGAAAAGTACCCTGTTACCGTAGAAATCCCAACTCCCGTCATCCTGAATGCGTTCCTATCACTTTCTGATATCGTCCGATAAGACACCAAACAAATTCAAATATTTGATGTGCACATATCATTATGCCTGAATGTTTTTTTGGGGCAAAATAAAATAATTATTTTCAAAAGAAAGTACTGATCCAATATCTGGCATTGTAAAGGAGAGCCATTTTGAAACTGTCGCTAAATAGCTGGGCTACCCCATAAAAAGTGGAACAACAAAGTTCCTTAAAACAGCCATCATTTCTGTGTGCTGCATACGCAATATATGTAGTGCGCAGGAAGCGATAGCAGTGGCAGATGTACCTCATGTCATGTTAGTGGGATCCACAATACCCTGAGATATAGGGTGAGAATGCTCTGTTGAAGGGTTTTCCTGCATAAGAATTCTAGCAACCTCTTGCGCTTTAAAAGTCTAAGCCCAAATGAATAATACAATTCTTTGAAATATTTATTAAGCACCCATTCACAAATCTTTGCAGTTTTGCATTCTCCCCACTGGCCTGTTCTATTATTGAAACTCCCATTATAAACCAGGTCACACAAGTCTATTACCACATAGTTTGGCTTTACAAAAGAAATTCACTCACTGCATCTCTAAGCAACATGTCATAAGTCTGTCTACTGGTAGCAAATATATAATAATAATAATAATAATCCTTGCATTTGATATAGCGCTTTTCACGTCGGGAGGACGTCCCATAGCGCTTCACAGAACACACTGTAAAGTGAATTGACTGTATATTTGTGGGCGAACGCGGCAGCCAATTGCGCACAGCAATGTCCCACAAACAGTCATAGATTGAAAATGACCAATTTATTATTGTTTTTGGTTTTGGAGGGATTATTATTAGGTGTGTGGAGTAAGGAAACTTGCCCAAGGTTTCGCCCTCTGCCGGGAATTGAATTCAGGTCTCTCGCTTGCAAAGCGAGTGCTCTAACCACTGAGCTACAGGACTCCATAATAATAATCCTTGCATTTTTCATGTCTTCTAGGCGTCTCAAAGCGCTTCACAGAATATACTGTAAAGTGAGTTGACTGTACATTTGTGGGCAAAACGAGGCAGCCAATTGCACACAGCAGTGTCCCACAAACAGTCATGAATTGAAATGACCAATTTTATTATTGGTTTTTTTCTTGAGGGATTATATCAGCCGTGTGGAGTAAGAAAACATGCCCAAGGTTTAGCCCTGCCAGGAACTGAACCCAGGTCTCTCGCTAGCGAGGCGAGTGCTCTAACCACTGAGTTACAGGACTCCTAAATATAACACCCATATTATATGCTATTGAAATTTTTCATTACTATATTTCTATTTACAAAATGTGTCATATACAATATATACTTTTGATCTAATCCATTGGGATGTTAAAAACCTAATCTTGTTTATATTTTTCGATTAGAAACATTAAAATAGTTGTCATTTGGCAACTCTCCTGTGGATCAATAGATATCCCCAAAACAACATGGTTGAGTGGATTTAATTTGTAAAGCCAACATCTGAATAGTTGATTCATTTCATTTATAATCAACATCTTACCAAAGAAAGCACAGTAGAATAAATAAAATAAATAAAAGCTAACATGATTGGGTTTACTATCTCACACATAGTTAATTAGAGGAAATACCAAACGGAGTGTACTCCCATTAGAAAAAAGGAAGGCATATAAACACACACATACACACACACATCTACTTCGCTAACCCCCTTCATTTTTTTTTTAATGAGCACATTTTTTCTTATAAGCCTGATTTGCAAGATCTAGGTGGCAATGGGATTGTTATCCAGAGAGAAATTCCTGTGGATCATTGACGATCCTTATTAGGGATTCCATTAAAAAAATACCACAAATTCAACACAGCTTTTCTAAATGTGGCTGCACCTGCAAAACGTTAGAAATAATATTTCTACCTATCGTCAAACGCTCTCAAAATGCAATCCATTCGATTAGCTTCGTGGATGACAGCTTTGCATTGCCTGGAAGCTAATGACGAATTATCGCACCCAAATTATTTTGCATTCACAGGTGCAGAAGGGAAAAGGATATCTTTATTTTGCGCACATTTTAACAGTTGCTCGTTTCGATATGCATACCTTGCCACATCTTCTTTGCATAACGTTTCCTGAAACGTCGCTGCATTTTTTTAAAAAAAAAAAGTCCATTCTTTGGAGTCACAATTGGCGCCTTTGTCATGTCATACGGTATGTCAGACAAAGGTAAATTAAATTATTGACAGGGGGCCTATTAAAGAGTACAGATCAAAACTGCTTTCTTCGTCCGGTCTACGGGAGTGTTTCCTCATATAAAGCTGCAACTTTTATCAGCTGGTCCTAAGAAGGGCCGGGAGCTCAGCTTGACGATTTTGCTTGATGTGGCCATCAAGATGACACAAAAAATTGCACAGAAAATAAAATAATAAAATAATAAAACAGAAGGCAACTGAAGCAGAGCAGATACATGAAGAGGCAGAGAGCAGAATACATTGAGAGGAGGGGGAGAGCAGACACAGTGAGAGGAGGGGGAGAGCAGATACATTGAGAGGAGGGGGAGAGCAAATACAGTGAGAGAAGGGGGAGAGCAGATACATTGAGAGGAGGGGGAGAGCAGAGATACACTGAGGAGGGGGAGAGCAGAGATACACTGAGGAGGGGGAGAGCAGATACATGAAGAGGCAGAGAGCAGATACATTGAGAGGAGGGGGAGAGGAGAGACATTGAGAGGAGGGGGAGAGCAGATACAGTGAGAGGAGGGGGAGAGCAGAGATACACTGAGGAGGGGGAGAGCAGACACACTGAGAGGAGGGGGAGAGCAGAGACATTGAGAGGAGGGGGAGAGCAGATACAGTGAGAGGAGGGGGAGAGCAGAGATACACTGAGGAGGGGGAGAGCAGAGATACACTGAGAGGAGGGGGAGAGCAGATACAGTGAGAGGAGGGGGAGAGCAGAGATACACTGAGGAGGGGGAGAGCAGATACATTGAGAGGAGGGGGAGAGCAGAGATACACTGAGGAGGGGGAGAGCAGACACAGTGAGAGGAGGGGGAGAGCAGATACAGTGAGAGGAGGGGGAGAGCAGATACACTGAGAGGAGGAGAGCCCCCAATTGCAAAGGGAAATCGAAACTGATAATATTTTAGGCAGTGGGAAAGGTTACTGGTGGTGAGGGAGGGGGAGGAGGGGGTGAGGGAGGAGGGGGTGAGGGAGGAGGGAGGGGGTGAGGGAGGGAGTGAGTGAGGGAGGGGTGGGTGGGTGGGGGGGGGGGGAGGGGGTTGGGTACCAAAAAAAAAGGGGCTTTAAGAAAATTAACAGAATTAATATTAATAATAACGATCCAAAAAAAAAAAGGAGAGGTGGGGAGGGGGGGAATAAAACCTGTTTAATAAATCAGGTGACCCCCCGCCCACCCCCCTCCCTCCCCCCCTCTCCCTCTCCCTCCTCTTCTCCCCCAGTATTAAAGATGGACAGAAGGAAGGAATTTGATGATTTTTTTTGGGGGGGGGATCATAAATAAACTTCGGTGGTGAGGAGTGGGGGGTGGAGGGGGGGATATATATCCTGTCGTTGCTGAGAGAAAAAAAAGACCCCCACACCCCCCCCCCCCACCCCCACACACACACACACACAAAAAAAGAAGGGGAGAGAGAGAGAGAGAAAAAACACACACACACACGACACACACACACACAGACAGTCACCAGACGCGCAACGAATGGTAAATGTTTTTTTTCCTTCTTCTTTCTTTTCTCTTTCTCTCTCTCTTTCTCTCTCTCTCTCTCTCTCTCTCACTGAGTGACTTACACGTGCGAACACTCGATCCTCATCGGGTTCTCGTAGATCTCCAAACACACCGGACAGGTCAGAGCGGTTTTGTCCACATCGTCTCTGCGGCCGAACGCCGCCGCCGCCGCCTCTCCCCAACTCACCGCCATTTCTGCTGAGAGAGAGAGAGATATATAAATAAATAATAAAACAACTCTCTCTCTCTCTCGTCTGTTTCCGCAAACGTCAGACGCAGACACACACAGAGGGGGGGGGGGGGGGGGGATGGGGGGGGGAGGGGGGGGGGGGGAGGGGGGATGGGGGGGGGGGGGGGGGGGGGGGGGGGGGGGGGGGGGGGGGGGGGGGGGGATTGGGGGGGGGAGGGGGGGGGGGGAGTGGGGAAGGGGGGGGAGGGGGATGGGGGGGGCACAGGAGATCCTGAGATCAAACAAGACAGTGAAAGTTATAACTCAGCAATTCCCTTCCTTTAGGGGGAGGCAATAAGTGTATATTTTTTAGTGGGTGTGTGGGGGGGTCACTGTGTGTGTGAGTGTGTGTGTGTGTGACAGTCACTGTGTGTGACAGTCACTGTGTGTGACAGTCACTGTGTGTGACAGTCACTGTGTGTGTGTGTGTGTGTGAGTGTGAATGACAGTCACTGTGTGTGACAGTCACTGTGTGTGTGTGTGTGTGTGAGTGTGAATGACAGTCACTGTGTGTGACAGTCACTGTGTGTGTGTGACAGTCACTGTGTGTGAGTGTGAATGACAGTCACTGTGTGTGACAGTCACTGTGTGTGTGTGTGTGTGAATGACAGTCACTGTGTGTGACAGTCACTGTGTGTGTGTGTGTGTGTGTGACAGTCACTGTGTGTGTGTGTGTGAATGACAGTCACTGTGTGTGTGGGTGAGTGTGAGTGACAGTCACTGTGTGTGAGTGTGAGACAGTGAGAGTGAGTGAGTGACTCTGCTCGGTTCTGCTCGGCTTTGCTCGGCCTCCGCTCGGCTTTGCTCAGCCTCCGCTCGGCTTTGCTCGGCCTCCGCTCGGCTTTGCTCGGCCTCCGCTCGGCTTTGCTCGGCCTCCGTTCGGCTTTGCTCGGCTTGGCTCGGGCTCCGCGCTCGGCCTCCGTTCGGCTCTCTGCTCGGCTTAGCTCGGGACCTCCTCCCCCCCCGCCCCCCCCCCCCCCACCTCAGTGACAGGCGACGCAGTCAGCGCGGGAGAAGCGCGGGCGCGAGAGGGCGAAAATCGGCGGCGTCTCGAAGCCCCTTTTTTTGAACGGACGGGGGGGAAAAAAAAACCAGGAGCCGCTTATCATATTTTTTTTATATCTAAAAAAAAAATTGTATTGTTATTTAGACGATGACGACGAGGGTCGGTCCCGAAAAAAAAATAAAAATTTTTGAAAGAAAAATAAAATAAAAGAACCCAATAAGTCGGGAGCCGAAGGAAGCCGAGAAATCAAAGATGGCGGCGGGCGTCAGAGAGGGAAGAACATGGACTGCACGAAGCGGCGGCGGCGGCAACGGCAGCGGCGGCCCTCCCTCCTAACACAGCCATCGCCGTGACCTCCGGGCGGACATGTCGAGAGGTGCCGCGCCCTGTAGTTCGGGTTAAGAAGGGGGTTTTATTTTCAAGAGGGAGAAGGAGAAAAAAAAGAGGGATGGGGTGGGTGGGGGGGGGGGGCTTTTTGCTTAAGTCTCCTCCCCCCTCAGTGTGTGTGTGTGTTTATTATTTTATTCCTTATTATTATTATTGTTGTTGCTGTTGTTATTTTCTTCTGCTGCTTCTGCTTCATTAACCCGAGAGCAATCCGGGGCTGTGTGGGCCGGTACCGACCGGCGAAGTTGGGACCACAGAGGAGACAGAGAGAGAGAGACCCATAATGACTAAGGACCATTTTTTTGGCTCTATCTCTGTCTCTCTCTCTCTCTCTGTCTCTCTCTCTCTCTCTCTGTCTCTCTCTCTCTGTTCAAGCCTCAACCCCTTCCTTTGCTGTGATTTTTGTGTGTGGGTGGGTGTGAGGGGGGGGGGGGTAAGTAAATAGGATGAAGGTGGTGGGAGGTGGAGGGGTGCCTTAACTCACTAACTAACTGACTGACACTGACTGAGCACCCCCCCCCCCTCACTAACTAACTAACTCACTAACTAACTGACTGACACTGACTGAGCACCCCCCCCCCCTCACTAACTAACTCACTAACTAGCTGACTGACACTGACTGAGCACCCCCCCCCCCTCACTAACTAACTAGTTGACTGACACTGACTGTGCACCCCCCACCCACCCCAGACGTTCTGGTAAATTCCCCTAATAATAATAATAATATGTGCAGCAAAGGTTGGATTTTATCCGTGGAATTAATTTGTGACCCCCCACACACACACACACACCAAGAGGCACATCGGAATTGGGAAAATTGTCTGCTTTTCTGCATTTTTTTTTGGTATTGCAGCTGCGTATTATCTTTTTTAAAAAAAGACACTTCAATAGTCGACGGCTAATTATGCGCCGTTCAAGGTCTTTTGTATGTATTTCTTTACAAAGAAAGGATCTTTACAGTATGTGCTGTGTGCAAATACGTTTAGATTTCAGCAAGTCGTAAAGTTACTCTTTAAGTTTATAGACTATAGATTTACATAACCTGAGCCTGATATAAACAAACAAATGTAATAATAATCCCGCCAAAAAAAACAAAACAATAATAAATCGGTCATTTTCAATCCACGGCTGTTTGTGGGACGCTGCTGTGCGCAATTGGCTGCCGCGTTTCGCCCACAAATATCCGGTCAATTCACTTTACAGCATATTCTGTGAAGCGCTTTGAGACGTCGAGAAGACGTGAAAAGCGTTATATCAAATGCACGGATTATTATTATATTCATCGTTCTGCTATCCATTTGTAATTCAGCAAGAATAAATAATAATTTGATGTAGTCTTGTGTGAAAGCACTTCACAGGTTTTTACTGTAAAGTACAGTGACTGTGTAGTGTGCAGGCAAATGTCATAGAGGAAAAATAGTATTTATACAACAATAAGTTTTATAATTTTGCAGGTTAATAGCTTTAATTCTGTATTTTTAAGTGAGACTTTAACATGGGACTTTATTAGATAGAAAATGACACTTGCATCTATGTATGTGTAGAGTTTAACTGAAATTGCTGTATTGAGTTTTTTTAATGGATTTACTTAATTTAGCAACTTTTATAAAAGCATCATTTTATTACTGTGAAATTGCTTAAGATATTTTTCTATTTATTTCCTAATGTGTAGGGAATTTTTATTTTGTAAGTTTAAATCAAACAGTAAATCGAATAAAGTATAACCTTAACTTTTTTTGCATTTCACTTGAAATAATCCTCCAAATAAAATTGTTCATGGCTGGTTGTGGGACATTGCTGTACACAAATTGTTTGCTGTGTTCACCTAGAAATATACAGTCATTATACAGTATTTTACAGTAAAATCCTGTGAAGTGTTTTGAGATATCTCGACAACGTGATAAAGTGCTATGTCAAACATAAGGATATTATTGTTTTTCCTCTTCCTTATTTAGGATTAAGATATAATGGTGATTTTTGTTACTGTAACTTGTTTTAATTTTAACTCTTTCCATTTTACAGTTCGAAGCATCGCTTGGACTCTTATCATCAGTCAATATTATTATTATTATCAAAACAGCTTCCCAACTAAATGTCCCATAGCATGAAGGTCTTAGACAAGCTGTGGTAAACTGTATTATTCAAACATTTCTCAATGGATATAAATAAATATCGAGACTCTTTGTTTCAAAAGTATGTACAATTTTGTGAATCAAAATTGAGTGAAGGGGAAAAAGACGTTGATGATGATTGTCTTAAGAGAGCAGCTACAAGCCTGCTTAATTTATATTGCCTGGAACCCAGTGAAAGATTCAAGATGATTAGGTTTTATGATGTGGTGGAGAACTCATTGAAGATGAAGAAAACATCAAGTTTAAGTGTGCTTCGTAATGCCTTTGGAACTCTGGAGACATTCTGTATTAACTTATTTCTATATCCCTGGAAAAAAGAATTTAAAACAATAAAGGTACAGTAGTCATTTTATCACATTGGATAGTGTGGCAGATAAATGAAAAATTGAGTACTGTAACAGTGATGTATAAATTTATCTGACCCACATTAATTTAATAGGCACAACTGATGGTTATATCCTTATCTGATGTAAACACTTGGGCATTTTAACAGGCAATCATTGAACAGTGATCAAGAATGGGATCCCTGACTGCTTTTGGCCTCCCTAACTTAGGGATACTGAAGTCAAATTGTAGCATTCCTGATAACCGACTTGGCAGAGATCAGCAAATTCATCACTGAACATGTCACCGTTTGATCTGTAAAGCTTTGTGTTGCCTTTAGTTGCTTAGTCATTGGGGGAAGCTCAGAAATCCAGGTGAGGCGCCACTGACGCACACCATCACAAGGTGGATCTGATGGATGACACTAGTGCGTCTGTGGGCTCATAATGCCCATAGTTGTGCAGTCCATCACTCAAACAAAAAAGGGCAGGACTCACTCCAACTCCTTGGCAGGATGCAGTCCAAATAAAATGTTGGTATATCAAATTCTCCTGAAAAAGAAAGCATATACGTTTTGAAGCTTTCAACAATAACTGACCTATTTTAGCACATTAGTCATGCTTATTTGTAAAGTTACTAAACTTGCTCTGCACTCCCCATTATACATCAGAATTCACCACTACGACATGGGTTTTCTCTGTCGTTAACAGAGTTACACCACTTAATAAATAGCTTTCCAGTTAGAAAAAAAACTGAGGATTTCACCTCACATGTATATACTGTTTTATTTAGTATTGACTGGATAAAGTTTTAAGATTGCTTATTTGACATACATTACACATGCTTTGCAATATTATGACATCTGGCAATGTATTCTTTCTGATGCTAATTGATCTTGTCTAGATTTCCAATAATGTTATAATGTGCTCCTTTCCCACTATTGAATGATTATAATAATCATTCTTATATTAGGTACAGAACCTTTCACATTGAGAGGATGTCTCAAAGTGCTTCACAGGATGCACTGTAGAATGTAGAGACTATTTGGTTTTGAACACTCCCAGTTTAAAGTGCTGTGTATTATGACTGGGTAGGAATACTTGCTGTATGGGAGCATAAATATATTATTGATTTAACTTTTCTTTGTTGTGTTCTAGACTTTCACAGGTCATTTTGTCTACTATGTCCAATCTGCAATGTGTGAGGATAACATTTGGAATATTCTTCATCATGTGGGATATTGTCTAGAAAAGGAAACCTATGAACTGAAAGACACAGTAAACACTAACCGTGTAAAATTTATTTCTTTTGAGCTCTTCTTGGCTAGAATTGAATGTGAGAATTTACTTGAAATATTTACACAAGTAAAAGATAAAGGTTATATAGAATGTAATGTTGTAGCAGAACGGAAAAATGGCACGGAAGGTGTGAAGGGATGCATTGACTCAATGAAAAGTCGAAGATGGATGCCCGAAAGTTTGTACACATCAGTGCCTCGACTGGATTTCCAGAGGTCAGAGAGTGAGCGATTGTCTAACAATTTAGTGAAGCGATTGATGAACAAACCATCAGCTTCTGTAGATATTTATGAAAATCATTTGGAGAAGCCCTTAAATAAATCTCACTTGACAGCCTTAAGTCATAAGAAAGATCTAATTTATACGCCTTCTGTTGAAGAATTGACTGAAGAGATTTTTCGTCCCACGCTATCTCTTCTCACTATGTCAGTCTCTCCTCGTGGAGGGTCAGACGAATACATGCAGTCTTCAAATGAGGGTTGGCGAGTGCAAACCAATCCCAATACTTTACATGCACTGGATGATGACCTGGACCTTTATACAGCTGAAGAACCTGGAAGCACTTTACTGCCAAGATGGACAGAAACAAATAGTCTAGGAATGAGATTAACAAAAAATAACGATCTGAAAGGTTTATACCATGAGGCCCCATACCATACCAAAGAAAATGTATCCAGCGCAGTTGCATTGGGGAAGTGCCAAATCTGTGGAATATCCAGTGGTACCTCAGTTTGCCAAAAATGTAACAAAGTTCTTTGTAATCTGTGTTATCAACAAGAATCCGGAGAGTCTAAACTTTACTCTTGCAGGCACGAGTATCCAAGATCAATGGGACACCGTAGCTTATTGCGCACACCTTCTGTTCAAAATGATGATCTCTCCTTGAGGTCTGCTGTAAAGGAGAAATGTACACATCCTACATCTACACAATGTCAGGAACGCTTGCCCATTTCCAAATCCGCCAGCTTATTACGTTGTGGATTTTGTGATAAACATGGCGCAAGCTTAACCTGCATGAACTGTTCTAAGGTCTCATGTGAAGTTTGCTGGACTGTTTATGATCAGGATGTGTGCAGGAAGAATAAGACACACAATTTCCTTCCACACAATAAGCTTGGGTATAAAATTTGGTAATGCGTACGCTGTGTATAAATAAAATTTACAACTTGAAATAACAATGCATATATATCAGCTCTAAAAAAAAACTTAACATTTAGAAAATGGGCACATTATAGAACTTTAAAAAAAAGTGCTGTTGAAATAATGCACCTTGTGATCTCTAATGCATTGTGTATTTTCAAGTCTTTGACCTCTGGGAAAAGCCATTGACTAAAGTATATACTTGACACTTTAAGGTATTCATTTTGCTGCTACATTTTTCAGGGGCTGATATATGTACATTAAAAGCTGCTTTAAACTTAAAAAAAACTTTTACTAGCAACGAGACAAATGATTTGGAAACTGGCAAATATTTTGTAAAAAAAAAAGTGACTAGAAAACTGTTTGGCGTAGCTCATGTTGTAAGTTCAATGTAAAACCCTGATGTTTATATGTAAAAGCCTGGTTATTGATGTTCTGTTTTTCTTTCTTGCCTTTTTCTAATGTAAATTGTGTTTTCATAATTATTTTGTACTTACAATAGATTGGCAAGTGTGGTTTTCCGATTGAACCCGATCCCATTCTGTCTTACGTTGTCTTAATGTAGGGATGTGTTGTCGGCTTGTTTTTCTTTGAGAACTTAAATACTTTTGATTGCTTGTGTGAATAAAACTGCACTTGAGAACGCTACATTTGTTGCAGTAGTTTCTTTGTCTAGAGATGATGCTTAAATTAACTGATTTTCTTCTTACTATTTTATATATTGCTTCCTCACGTTGATATGTTCACTCAAGATAAGTAAACACAAGATGATATGCATTTTGATTTTGCACAATTTGTAACTAAGGTCAAACCTGTTTTCAACAACCACTAGGAACTAGTCCAAAGTTTCCTTTTTGTAAGGGTGGCCTTTGAATAAGGGTTTGTTGGTTCATTGACCAGGCTTGAAAATGGTATTAAAAATTTCCATGGACCTGCATGTAAACTCCCACTAGATTCTTGGCTCATTTATCAATGGTGAGGTGGGAAGCTGCGGATATTATATGGGCTGCTCCGGGCTGCGTTGGTAAATGCGCTAGGAGTCTAGCAGGAGTCTACATGGGCCTGTGGTGGAAATAGGTAACGCATTAGCTGTAAGTGCACTCACTTAGCTGAACAGGTGTGCGTACACTGAGAGGGTTTTTAAAAAAAGTGGCTACCGGTGGGGTTAAACAGGTTACTGAACAGTGGTGATCTGTTATGGAAAATTATTATTGTATTATTAAAATTGGGACTGTTCCAGGATGGTTTTTCATCGCAGGTGGTCGCTGAATAGAGGCGGTTGGTTGCACTAACAGGTTTGACTACATAAATTGTTTCTAGAAAGGCTAATCAATAACACGTATACTTTAATAAAGTACTGTAATATCTTAGATTGATTGTGTAAGGAAAACACGTTATGAGTGTAGACGACAGATGGCGCTATAGTCCTGTATTTCTTTTGGAAGTTGGATGAATAATCTATTTTAAATGCAGGTGTTTTCTGTTTCAATGAGAAAAATAGTTTTTCCCTTCTGGTTAATTATTAAATGTTTCTGTTGCATTATTGAAATGACGAGTCTTATTTTGGCATTGCTCATAGAACATTATAAGTTTACTGCTAGGAATCTGGCTCAGGTTCTTTTAAAAAAATTACTAATTTAATTCAATGTAGCAGTATAACACAAATCGGTAATGAGATGCCCCTAAAATAATAATAATAATAATCCTTTTTATATAGTGGCTTATCGTGTTGTTATCACGTTTCTCAAACTACCATCACATCTCCAACTTTTGTTTTATCCAAGGTCCTGGATTCAAGTGCTCCGGGACACTACCCCACGTGAAGGGTACTATATAAATGCAAGTTGTTGTTTCCCAACTTCATTCTTTCCTCTCTCGCCATTCCCTGTTTCAACCTCTCCAATCTGGTTTCCACACATAGTGGAGACAGCCTTAGTCAAAGTTACAAATGACATTCTGTCCATTTGTGACCAGGGCTCTCTCTGTCTCCTCATCCTTCTCGATCTCTTTGCCGCCTTTGACACTCTTCGACCCTAACAACATTAACAAGGCTTCTTAACTTTCTTACTAAGAGAGAAGGAATCAAACATTTTGTGTCAGAAGGTGTTTGTGCCAGGCTTGCTATTGCCTTGTGTTTAAATGCTTTTTTGAATTTCTTATGGCAAAACACTTATCACAATGCCACATGCTGTGTTTCAGTTGAGCCAAAGTACTCCCGTTTCAATTCATTGAGGAAAATATGCATTATATTTATGCAAATTTGCAAACTGATTAATTGGCTCTTATCAAATAAATATTGCTTGCTCTAATTCCTTCAGCACTGAGCTACATTTATACATATTTCTCATGCGTTGCCATTGCTGTTGGTACTGCAGAAATGGTGTTATCTAGTTTCACTCTTGCTTATACTTCTGTTGTGTCAGACTAATATTATACAGTTTGCATAGTCAGTACTGCTGGAAGACAATATTATCTTTGTCGCCAGTTTGAAGGCGAAGATATTATTAGCAATATGGTAGAAGCCCCTTGAGCCTGTATATATTTGTCTCCAGGCTGTAATGTCTGTGATGGTTTTACTGAGATTAACATGCTTGGTACAGCTCTTGTTTGTTGATTTGGGCAGTAAAAACAATGATTCTGCATAACAAGTCTTTGAAAAGTACATGAAACATTAGTACAATTGTTAAAATGTAGTTATAAGACAAATTAAGTACTGTACAAAGTTTTAAAACCCCGAATAGCAAGCCAACCATCTTTTTTAGTCATTGTGTTTTCAGCCAGTAACTGAATTTCTAATTACACTTCATAACGCAGCAATTTAACAGTGTTTAACATAAAGATAATTTATTTATTTTGGCAAATGAAAACCAATGATACACTGTTATAAAATTGATAAATAATTGAGTAAGAAGTATCCTCTAATGTAATAAACACATTTTGTATTTAATAAATCTACAAAATGACATCATTATCTGTAAAGTATTGACCAGGTATTGAATATGAAACTCTGTTCAGCTGAAACTAGAAAGTATGTTTCATCTTTAAATGCTTGCAAACACAAAAGCCATCCAATTTTAACAAGATTTCAATAAAAAGGTTGACTTATGCATTATTCAAAGTTTGTGGCTTTGTCATGCTTTTAATGAAGATTTAACGGTTGCATTTTATAAAGTTTTTTTCCATTAAAAAAAGGAGACTTGAAATAAAATTACAATTCATAGTTTCATAAAACAATATTTGATTGAATTGAATAGTTATCAAGGACTACAGTTATTATCACTTAAAGAATGCAGTATCTAATTAAATGGTGAAACAGGCTCGAAGGGCTGAATGGCCTCCTCCTGTTCCTATGTTCCTATGTACATTAGCATTGGGACATCCCAAAGCCCCGAGAAACAACAAGTTACTTGGTATGATTAAGCGGCATCAAACAATGAATGCAGCCTTCTGCAGAAAGATTTTAATAATAATCCCTCCAAAACAAAACAATAATAAATTGGTAATTTTCAATTCACAACTGTTTGTGGGACACTGCCTTTTCACATCGGAAGGACATCCCAAGGTGCTGAACAGTCAGAGATTTGCACCCAGGCTGGGAGGTGGATTGGGAGGGTCCATGGAGGGGTGGGGGTGAGAAGTTGACTGGAGGCACAATCAGAGAGGAAGGTCTTGAGATGGAGCTTGAAGGAGGCCAGGGAAGGGGTAAGGCACAGCAACTCCAGGATCGGGTTCAAGAAAGGGGGCAGAAAGGCTAAAAGCTCGACTGCTGATGGTGGATCCAAGGGGTGGGGGGGGGGGGGCGCGGTGGGTGAACAGGAAACAGGCCATTGCCTACTGAGTGGAGGGAGCTGATGGCTTGGAAAGGCTTTAGAAGATCACAGAAGAAGAGTGGGGCAAGATCGTTGAGGACTTCAAAATTGCCTGTATTTTCCTTCAGGCAAGAAAGAGCCTTACAGGTAATATCACAGTCTTTAGTTTTCCCTGAATAAAGTAGACACTTTCTAATTTTTATTTGCAATAATTAACAACAACCGTTTCTTAAAGTTACTTCCATTCCCTTTATTTAATTGCAAATTATTGAAGCAAAACAGTTAGATGTGATTAGTGTAATTGTTAATTGACTTGCAACTTGGCACCATCATGAGAGAAGTAAGAGAGAGACATTTTATAAGAAAGGAGTAGGTTGAAAGAATCTATTGAAAGAAAGGAAGGAGGGAATAAAATAAGAATGTAACAAGAAAATGGAATGTGAGAAATGAATTTACTGAGAGAGCTATGGAAAAAGAGGCAGAAATATGGTAAAAAGTTGAACATTAAGAATAGGAGCTAATAGGAGAGGAATCCAGCTAACCTTTAGAGCTAAAGTAGGACAAAAAACAATGTTGAAAATCAATTATTCAGAAACGATATGGGAGAGTACGGATCCTCGTGATGTGGTCAGCAGAATCTTGAGTTTCCCATATTTTCCTAGGCAACCTTTACGTATCGAGGATCATGTCCCAATTTGGGGGAGTGCTGGATGGGAAAACTCCATTACTTTGACTGGATAGAGTAAGCAGATTTGGAATGCTACTACATCAACAGCAACATTATGATCTCAGATTTATTCTTTATGGAGGTGTGCAAAATACTTCACTCTAAAGACCTTAAAGAAGTCCAACAGCATCCTTACTTCTCCCCGACTGATGCTGCTTTTCATATTTGTTAAGCAGGTCTTGACATTCATTCTCTGTGTGAGGTCTTATGCAAGTTGTAGTTGTAGGAAGGCAAACTGGTGCACACACCAGGAGGAACACTTGACATACAGGACAAGCAATGGACCCTCATTTAACACTTATCCAACATTCAATGGAAATTAATTCTTAAAACCACCTCTAATGAACGGTCACTTGATCATATTTTATTTCAACCTTTATGGCATGTAATCTTTTGGTGGTGCATCAATCATATACTGAAGCCTGGGAGAATCCAATTGATGCAGAATTAATTATTCCAGTTGAAAATGTTTCACAGAATAATCCTGATATACTTCATGCTCACTGGATAAAAGGTTCCCTCAAACCTACCTCACACCAGACCAATAAAGACTTCAATAATACAATTAATTGGAACGTAGTCAGGTGAAACATTCTCTGAAAAAACCTCATAAATGCATTGGTAATTTAATACATTGGACTGTATCCCAGGATTAATTTGCCAAGTACTGGGGTGAATTCCAAGGGCATTTCACTGCATGAGTGAAGAAAGTTAAACTTTGTTTCCCGATTATCTCTTTTGCAACCTCTTTTCCAGAAGGTACATACACTCGCTTGCAATTCTATGAACCTTATGGTGTGTCTCAGGTATATTTTCCATGTAGTCATTCTTTATCTGAATTGGGTGTCACTTGATTACAGAGGGTACATAGCCAAGCCTTATTTTGTTCTAACCTAATCTTTCAGCATAGTTTACGGGATAGAAATAAAGAACATCATAGGCCGCTGAAGCCAATTGCTGAACTGAGTACAGAAATAGGGAACATGAATACACATTAACAAAACCTCAAGCAACATCTGAGATCATATTTTTCTCTACAGAGTTGCAACAAAAAGGAGGGTGTGTGATGTGATGATCACACAACATTGAACAATATTTTTCCCTTCTAATATCCTCAAAAAAGAGCATGCGAGTGGAAAGGATGGTCAGTGGCAGGCTTCACTGTTGGGAGTACCTGAAAATTCATAGAATTGTTACACTCAAAAGCAAACATGAAATCACCACTTCTCGGTGCCCAATCTTACAAAAAATCACAATTCTGAACAGACCCCTAAACAACCGTAAACATTGTTTGCTTTGAAAAAAAAAGGACTCAACCACCAAAACTTTCTATTGATCTGCTATCAATGCCTTGGGACATCCTCCCAATATGAAAGATGCTGTACAAATACAATTTGTAGTTGTTGTTGTTGTTGTTACCCCTCAGTCACCAGGTGCTGAACTAGAGCTCTGAACAAAATCCCACTAAAATTAAATTAAACACATTTCACTTCTAAAAATATTTGAAGATTTTAATCACTTTTACAGATCTTGTAGCCTTCTTTCCCAAGCAAGTCCTAAAGCAGCAATTCACAGTGCCTGCTTTTGTCCACCAAAGAAAAACTTCCCATGAGGTTTTACATCAACAAAGTTTCTCGTGACAAAGTCATCTGACATAAGACCAGATCCAGATGTGCAAGAGATGACCCACACCAACATTGTGCATTAATGCTCGGTGAATAAAGAAGACTTTATGCTGGAAATGATAGAAATTAGGTCCAAAAGTGGACCCAGATCGTTCGAATTTGGAGAATTTAACAAATTCATAAATGAACCTAAAATTGTTCAGTTGAATATATTTGGGATCTTTCCTACAGACTGTATAAAAAAACAATGCTGCAAAAAGAGCGGTGTGCAAATATGACATAAACTCCATCAAGAATAGTGTATCAGGGAGATGCAAACACTTAGTTCTGCAAGGGACAAGAACAGAGAGGTGCAGGAAGGCTAGAGTAGTGAAGGGCA